CTCTTACGCTCTGGTGCTCAAGAGGTAGAGGAGCCAAATGGCTGACTCACTGCTGCCAACTAGTGGTCAGAGGCTGAACTACAACATAAAAATGAATGGTTGGCAAGAAGGTTGACATTTTAAACCTTAATTAAAAATCGATACAGGGCTTTAGAATATCGATACAGTATCGGGAAATGAAATATCGCGATATTTCAGTGTATCGATATTTTCTTACACCCCTACTAGACGGTAGTCACCTGCAGGCCAAATGCCTTGATTTTGACATGTGATTTGACATGTTATTTATAATCCTCTGTCTTTATTTTCTCCAGCTAAAGCCACGACGTCCCACCAGACAGCCCAGAGAGCCCCTGCCCCCCACATGTACTACGCCTGTCCCGAGGGTGCGACAGCCAGAGTCATATGCGAGCAGGCGGGGGCCAACAGCGAGGAACTGAAGCACCTCTGGCTCTTCACCCCGTACACTGACGAACACTGCAAAAAGGGGCTGAGGCCGCGCAACTTGTCGCACCCTAAGCACCCCAGCAACCACTCCCCACAGCTGGGGCTGGACTTCGGACACACCAAGGACAGGATGTGGGTGACTCTGACCAACGTCACGCATGCCGACCAGGGCCGCTACTGCTGCTTGCTGTGGGGAAGCCACAAGCATGAAAAGCCAACCCTGGAGTTCCACAGCTACGCCATTCTTCACGTGTTCGCAGGTAAGAACAGCAAACGAGCCGCAGCTCAATCATTTATTAATCARTCACTGAGACAGTGGCGCCTAAAGAAAATCTTTTCAGGGGGGCCATGGGCGGGGGGGCTGAAAAACCATGGACGTGCCAACTGATGTTCAGTTTGTTATTTTATAGATAATTTTACTGATTTTGTGACGTTCAGAGACAAACAAGAACTAAAACTATCTGCACTTCTGCATTAGTCCATTTCTTTTTTTGTCACTTCAGTAGAAAACGAAACTAAATATTAGTTTATTTATTTCATCATCACCTTTTTTTTCAGTGAAGAGAAAATAGAGACAGAGAGAAGTGATTACCCGGCAGCAAGATAGAAAGATTGAAATAGCGATTAGAAGTATATTAAATATACACCAACAAAATTGCATGAGTCCATTTGTAACTTATTCTGTATCTTTACACACGGAGTACCATGTTGTACTTACATTGTTACATATTTCAGTGGCATCAGAAGTATTTGTAACGTTGGGGGTCCCAGTGAAAGAAGTTGATGCCATTTCCTGCGTTCTGTTGCATTTTAACGGGGTGTTAAACAGACTTTTACCTACAGGAAAACACTTAATGTGAGTATTCGACTACATCAAGTGGAATATATTTATTTAGGTGAAGTAATATTTGATGGTAAATGTGGGGGTTCAAATGAAATTCATTTTAAAYGTGATGGGGACACTTCGCTTCACAAATGATTGCCGTGATGCCTGTCATTTTATTTAAAAAAGTCAAAATATGCATTTTAAAGACATTTACAAGCTTTCTCAGTTTTAAAGCGTCACCTCTTCTGTGTATGTTAAACCAGTTTGATTTGCTTGTTGATGTTTACTTTTATGAACAAAAACTGTAATTATAAAACCCCAAAACTGGAAATAAAGACTAAAACAAGCACAATTCCAAACACATCATCCCAAACTATTCTTTCGTTAGCTTTTTCATATTAGTTTTAATAAATATGATTTTGGTCTGTGAGAGAAAACTAAAGACTCAACACAACCCAGGAAGTTGATCTATTTTCTTCCTTAGAGGCAAAATCTTGCACTACCAACTGTGCCACTGAACTGCCTAATTTTATATTTATTATGTAAGTATTTAAGTTATTTAATTAATATTTGATTAAAATACTGTATATCTATGAATATAATCTCCTGACCACCTCTGTCTTTATTTGAGAACATTGGTTTTAGACTGGTTGTCCTTATTCAGAGGAGCTACATTTTATTTTAGTTTTTTGTTTTAGATAAAATATAAATTATTATTTTTAAC